GTTTTTTTCCAGCCATTTTTGCTCTTATTTCAGATTTCCAGCATCTGCAGGGTTTTGCTTTTGTTGACTTTGTTCCAATTCCACCCTTAGCTTCACCTGTTCCATCTCCAGCTCTTCTCGCCCCTTCCTTGACTTTTCTTTTTCCCAGTTCTGGAGATAGGATTCCCAATGTTCACTACAAATCCATTGACTCCCACAGCTGCCTCATCTACCTTTCTCACAACTCCTGCAAAGATTCTATTCTTTATCACTTCATCACATAACCTTCCACTCCAGTGCTTCTGACCTGGCTTCCTTTCTCCTGAACTGGAAGTTTCAACCCAGTGAGGTTGAAGGGTCCTGTCAATGAGCCCAACCCATTTCACACACCTCCTACTCTGACCCCGACCTGCAGAACATTCAAAAGATTCCCCTTGTCTTCACCTTCCATTTCAATGGAACATTCTCTGCCATTTCCGCCAACTCAAATATGTTAACCATGAAACACATCTCCTCCCCACCCCCTTCAACATTCAATAGGAATCATTCTTGAAGTAATACACTAGCCCACTCCTCAGACATTCCCAACATCCCACCTCCCTTTTGCATCTTTCAGTGCAAGCAAAGGAAATGTAACATTAGTCCTTTCACCTTCTCCGCCTTCACTGCTCAATCTGCCAAACACTCCTAATTGAAACAATGATTTACTTGCTTTTGCAATATACCATATTTTTTGGTCAGCCTTCCTAAGAAAGGATATCCTTGCCATAGAGGGTGTGCAGCTGAGGTTCCTAAAGCAGTTACCAGGGTTAGAAAACAGCCCTACTGAGGACAGATTGACGACTGAATCTGTAATCATTAGAGTTTAGGATGAGAGAGGATCTGATTGAAATATGTAAAATTCTAACAGGACTGGACAGACTAGATGCAGGGAGTTGTTTTCCCTGTTTGGGGAGTCTAGAACCAGTGGACACACAGCCTCAGGATATGGGTTAATGATTTTACTCAGACATAAGGAAAGAATTCATCACTGAGAGGGTAGTGATCTGTGGAATTCTCTACCACAGAAGACAAGAGGTAGACAAATCATTGAATATATTCAAGAAACAGACCGATAAATGTTTACATTGTAAAGGCATTAAGGGGTATGGAGAGGGAGAAAGTATGGTGCTGATAATAGGAAGATCGGTCATCATATTGAATGGTGGAGAAGGCACAAAACGACTGAATGGACCACTCCTGCTTCGAGTTTGTGATTCTATTTTTATTCGTTATTCACAGTCAACACACCCTCTATGATGCGCGCACACAGTCCAATGTTCTGAGCACAGCAATGAGCGCACTGTCGCCAATTCCAACACTGCTTCCAGGTCTGCAAGTCGCTGCGACACACACAGCTCGGAGGTTCACGTAGAAGATTAGAGGGAACGCCGGTCACATAGCAGTCTCTCCTACACCGGGGAGATCAAATGTAGACTGAGTGCCCACTCAGTCCATAAGTGCGATCCTGAGCTTCTGGTTGCTTGTCATTTTAATTCTCCATTTGTTCCCATGCTGACTTTACTGCCCATGGTCTTCTACAGTGTTCCAGTGAAACAAAATTCAAGTTCAAAAAACAAGGTCTTACTCAGTACTCCACAGCCTTCAGGACTTAATGAGTTCAGACATATCCTGCCTCAATCTTAATTTACATGCTTTTTGTTTATCCTTTCTACACCCTTTATTTTTTCATATTAGTTTTTAATGTACCAATTCATATCTGAATTAGACCTCTTTCTTCGATTACCTGTTTCTTCACAATATCCATTACCACTTTCTTTGGCTGTTGCATCATTAAATCTTTTGTTATTTAATCTCCTCGGACATCCAAACTTTCACAGACCTCCTCCTGCTCCCTACCAGTGGCCTCAAGACTCTTAACATTTCTATTTCTCTACGGTTTTGGTGAATGGTCATCCATCTGAAATGCCAAACCAGTTTCTCTCTCCACCGATGCTTCCTGACCTGCTGAGGTTTTCCAGCGCTTTTTACTTTCACATTTCAGATTTCCAACATGCACTTTATTTTGCTTTTGAAAGAAGTCTGTTGGTAATGCAGTTGTTAGCACTGCCAGTCAAGCCAGTTATAAATCAAGTCTGGTACATACATCCAGAATGCTATGCTGCATATATTAACTGTTATATTTGAAATAACCACAGCGCCTCCATACCACATTATGCAAAACACCATCTCAGAGAGCACTTCCACCCCCATCTAGCCTGTCAGCGCAGTAGTAAAACCACTGCAGGGATATTTATAGCAAAAAAAAAATCAGCATAGAAATAGCTGTTTGACTTTGTCAGCTCAGGGTTTTAAATATGTATTTACATTGCATGTCTATATTTATAATCATGACAGAGGTTAGATAGAAACAGCTCCCCAGTATTGCTGTTGCACTAAACCGTGCATGTCATCATTCTACATCCGTATAGGACACTAATTAGATTGTGGCTTCTGTGCATTCTCTCAGAATAACGATTACCGATGACCTGGGGGAGTAAAGGTATTGAGTCATATTTTAATCACATTAAATTAAAATTAGAGTTGCATCATGAAGATTTATGAATAAGTCATCTAAAAAAAGAAGTGCTCAGTGGACAAAATTTAGTTTTAAGGCGTTAGGATCAAACCAACATTTTAATAATGTCAGAAAATAACATCAAAAATTAATTTTCTAAAGGCTACAAATGTCACTATTTTTCCTTTCTCTATTTCCTAATTGTAAAACAATTATGTTCTTCCACTACTTTATTTTCTAGTTCTTCTGCCATACTTCGTCCAAGTGATTGAGATCCTCCTAACATCTCTTGCCTTGCTCTGTCTATGCAATGCAAGATCTTGGGTTTGGTGATTTCTCCACTCTTTCCCAAAATGATCCCTGACCCAAACCTATTGACCCTATTGAAGGTCTGAGATAGTTATTACTCTGTGACAAGTATCATAGTGCCTCCTCCACATATTTCAGTAAATTATTTTTCTCCTATTTTCTTTAAGTCTTTGGTATGAGGCATTCTTGGGTGTGGAAGCACTGGAATCGGTTTTTGCAAACTTCTTCCCACGAGTAACCCACAAGGAGCATCTAACTGTTTCACTTCAATCTACCTCCTGTAGTATCAGAAATATTTTCCATTATGTCAGATCAATCAATTCTCAGGCATTCCCGTAACCTTGCAGGGAAAGATAATGTCACCCGTGCTTCTTTTGTTTCTGGTCTCTTGATTTATAAATGTAATCAATTCGGGCAATATTTCTTTCATTTATGTCAAAAGATCTGACCATCAAAGCAAATAACATGCTTCTGCTCTAAATTTAGCAATATTGAAATAACCGTGATGCTGGCATTGTAAAATTAAGTCTCAGTGATATTCGGATTACTATTTCGTCATTGAATACTAGTCAATTCGTGATCACTGTCAGATGTCCTCTCTCCTCAAGATAGGACAATCTGCCATATACGTTGGCCATTTCCTAAAATAACGTTCTCTTACCTGCTTATATTCCTCACCTGATTTTTGGGCCACTTTACTTTCTAAATCACTGTTGATGGGATACACGTTCCTGTTTTAGGCATGGGAACGGGTCCACAGTCATTCAGCCTCCTTTTCAGAGATGGAGTGTGTGTGTTACATCCATTTACTGAGTAAACCTTCTTTCTTACAATCACTGGACCATTTGTTAGTGACCAGAATATCAATCAGGTCACATTCTAGACTCTGGGAGGAAAAGTTAATTTATGGTGACAATGAACTGAGGAATATACCCCAGAGGTTACTCAACTTTTCACCAGGCCTGGAAGTTTTCAGATGTTATGAAGCAGGACCTTGCAGAGTCAACAGGGCTTGTTGCTTCCGTTGCTCAAGTCAACACCAGTTGCTTCATCCAGTTTTATTCCTTTTGGGATTTTACTGCTGATGCTTGGTTCAACTGAATTGTTTATGTTTTAAGAATCACACATTGGTGTGGGGGCCAGAATCATATGCAAACCAGACAGTTAAAAGGAGGCAGATTTCCTTCCCTAAAAGGACAAGATATGTTTGTCCAACAACCATTACACAGACTAGGTTTTAGATTTGTTTGGATTTGAATTAGAGTCCTCACAAGGCATTAGTTCGACCTCTGCATTATCAGTCCAGACGCATCACCTCCAGAGTAGAGTTTACCCATGGGTTAATTGCAAATATTGTTGGTGCAGGCGCAGCAGGTATTACACAATGTTATCTCCCAAACTGAAATACAGTCAGGAGTTAACTGCACAAGGTTGCTTTTTGACAAAAATAATTGAAAATTTGTTTTTGCATTGAAGAAATTTGCACTTGGTAGATGACAAATATACAAAGCAATTCACAGACCTACAACTGTTTGGCCAGGAAGCTGGAGTTATAAATTGTGTTCAGGTTACATTTCTTCTTGCAACAATGCAACATCTATGTTCACAAGTTTGAGTCAAGGTTATTTTGGGTACTGAGAGGGAAAGGCAAAATGAGATGGGAACATCTATTCAACATTTAATGAATATGATCAAGGTTACATTATTTTCTTTTCATAGTGAATAAACTGCAGCAGGCCACCTACAAATCAAAGTGACAAACATTTTCTCTAGGGCCCTGTTTTACCAAATTGTTAACTAAACAAATCATGTTCCAGTTAGGGCTCTCATTATGCAGTGAAAATTCGACAAAATACATTCATAGAATTGTCAGAGATGTGCAATTATAGGGGCAATTATACGAACGCCAAAAATCAGACATTGCTTGGTTCTGGCCCTCTACTGTGAAAGCTGACACCAAGATGAGCAGCATTGCGCACAGGTCCAGTGCCATGTTAATTTAGAGTTACTGCAACTGGTTGCCAGGAAACAGAAGACGACTGCTGAAAGAGAGCAGTGTACTAATACTAACTGGAGAAATAAAAAAAGATGCAGCATTTGCTTGTCATTTTCTCTCAGCAATAGTTTAAAAATTCACTTTGCATTGAACACTCAATGAAATCTTCGAGGACTATTTTATTAGAAAACAAAAGTCAAACAGATATATTGGAAACAATTTATAATATGCTCTGCAGATCCTTTTTCACATAGTCTCCAATTTGCCATTTTAAATTATGTTGCAATAAAGTACCATCTCTATTAAATCAATGCAAAAGTACAAAGATTTTCAGGAAAAGCCACCAACTCAGATCTTGAGCTCAGCTCAGCTATATGTCCAGTGATCAGATGGAAATAGATCAAGATCAGTGTTTCACATTAATGATACTGTTTGCATTTTGGCTCTTCCGCTGCTGTTCTTGGTAGGATTTTGAATCTTCCCAGGGACGTGGTCCTCGGATGTTTACCCAGTCATCCAAGTTCTGTTGCTGTAGTTTCTGTTTTTAATAAAAGGAAAGACAGTATGAAAGTACAGTTCTCAGAAAATCAAAATGTTCTTACACAAGATGACTGGAAAGCTTATGGCTATTGAACATTTATGGGATCATTAAAACGGTAGCAGTGCAGTGGACTGAAGAAATCAAAGTATTTTTACACAGATGTAACAGAATCTATATAATACTCCACAACAAAAATAATTAATTAACATTTATAACTACTTATGTCGTCATTTTGCTCTTCTTAATGCCATTACTTCCTCTCTGTTCAGGAGCCATTTTTCCATGCGTTTCTATGCACGGCTATGCTAGAATTGCACATTTCCCTCATCTTACTCGTCATAGACGGAAAATAAGGGAACTCTGTAACAAAAACCCAAAGAACTGCGGATGCTGTAAATCAGGAACAAAAACAGAAGTTGCTGGAAAAGCTCAGCAGGTCTGGCAGCATCTGTGAAGAAAAAAATCAGAGTTAACGTTTTGGGTCCGGTGACTCTTCCTCAGAACAGAGGAATGGTTCCGAGGAAGGGTCACCAGATCCGAAACATTAACATTTTTTCTTCACAGATGCTAGCAGACCTGCTGAGCTTTTCCAGCAGCTTCTGTTTTTGAACTCTATAACAAATTATGTGCCTTTCTTATTGATTTCTCACACATGCCATGGGTATTTGATTTCCCCAAGCATCCTGATGTTTGCCTGCACTGGAAGAGATGGGGAGAAAAATACAAAAAAAGGGAAACTGGTACTCCTGTCAACAAGAACAAGTTGGGATGACCACAGTTGAAAAGGTATCATTCCTTCACACAAATCATCTTTCTCCTCTCTTCCCAAGTAATTCATTTTTCAGTTTTTTTTCTAATCTACACCAATTCACTTTAAACAGACAATATTATGGATATTAATTTAACATGGGAGCTTCTCTTGCCATCCAATGGCAGACTGTTAAAAAGGAAGTGGAATTATCCATCCTCTATCTCCAACCTTTGAGAGGAAATATCAAGCCACAATTGCGCAGTAGTAGTTAAACAGCACACTGTTTGGGAAATCCCCAGGGTTTCTTGCTCTCATGGAGCAGAATATGGAGCTTCTGAAACAGTCTTCGAGGAAGGCATTTTGCTTGGGATTGTAGCCTTTGACGAAGAGTTTGAGTGTGCATTGGTTTAAAAGTGAGAAGCCACTTATACAAACATCACCTCCACTCTGGCAGCTGCTAGCAGGTATAATGTGTACAATTAGTTCATCATGCTGCACTTTAGTTTCTATCCAGAATTAATTTTTTATTTCAAATTGTCGTAGCACAAGGAAATTGCAGATACCGCAGAAATTTTATTATTTGATGAGCAGTCTTATTTTTAAATTTTGGCCGCATGCCAGAGAACCTTTTGTTTCTCCTGCAAAAAGGGAAATATTGAAAATGCCACAGGAATTCACTCCCGTGCTACACAGTGCACATCAGAGAGATCAGAATTAATTAGGCAGAATGACAATTACCAATGGATGGCACAAATCCTTCTCATGAGACAGCACGGACATAAGGGTCACTATAATCAATCCTCTAGCTTGTGGCGGTCTAACATTAATCATCATATTAACCTCAGTCAATCCCAACAGCCTGAATCCCACAGAGAGCAGTTCTCTTTCTTTCCTCCCTGCCAGACTGTCCTGACAGACCCTCCTGCATCAGTCAGGAGAAAGCAACATAAAGTGCTCAGAACCATGACAATGTCAGACAGGGAGGTGTGAAAAGTGATACCGAGACAAGGAACAGCGTAAGTCAGGAAAAGAATGGGGAAAAATCACTCCCAATTAAAGCCAGCCTTTGTGAATGGCCAATAGACATAACACTGAGTCAGAAAATAAAAAGGCCAACTATGTCACTGTGGGATTCTACACTTCGCCTCATCATTTTAATACTCCGCTGTTGGTGAGAATCATGTCCGGTTTATTCAATATTCAGTCTTAACTCTAAGATCAATGGCTTTGATCATTTTAGAACAGCAGCTCTTTTGTCGTCATCCAGCTGAGTCCATTTCCCTCCTTAAAACACTCCAAACCAAACAGCAAAAACAACCACGAGTAGTTTTTCTTTGCACAGTAAGGAGTTCAAATTGTCTCCACTTTGACTAAAGGCAAGGCTCCCTGTTGGGTCACTAGCACCTCACTCAAATAAACAGAATTCAAAGCAAAGAAAAATAATCATTGGGCCCGCTTATCGATGTTGGCCTTTACGCTCTTATCCCTCTTTATTTAACCTATTGGTATATTCTTCTACACCTTTCTCACATGTTTATTGAGCAGCTGCTATTTACTTGTAAACCTTGACATTGTAGTAGCAGAATCACAGATCCCAACAGTATCCCCTCAACATCTGTTGTTCAGATGTGTGTATGGTCGACAGGACTTTCTGGATAACAATCAAAAGTGGAATTCTTTTAATTCCTCATTTAAAAAGAATAAAATATATCAAAACTGTGCATCAGGACTAATTAAAGAATAAAGGAACAAAATGAAATAGCCTCAAGCTTAGATTATGAATATTAAATCATGTTCAGATCAGTCAATCAGGGCCATCCATTTTGTATACTCTTACCTCATACTCTGATTCCACCGAAACCTTATTTTTATTCTTGTTTAATTGAGCTTCAAGAGCCGGATCAATCTGAAAAGTAGGGGAATAAAATTGGTTTAACTTATAATCTCAAAAAGAAACTAAAACAAGAAACAAACAATTTGTTCAAACTTGTTAGGATACAATACTTACTCTGGTCAAATTCAGAACCACAAACTTTCATGCCATGATTAGCATATAAACACTGAAACTGATTGCTTGACCCAGAACTTTCAACATTTGCACCTCTGCTATTAGAAAGGAGGTTTGTTCCAATTATTTGATTGGCTTCCTCAATGTACTCAACAGTGAGACATTGTGAAACTATTCACACCCCAATACACGTACAGGAGGACTTTCCAAATTTTAATTTAAAAAACAAACAAACAATCACAAGAAGTGGACAGCAATAAGGAGCAGAAACTCACGAGTTTGGTTTCCCCACAATGTGAAAGTTTGCAGCTAAGTGTGGCATCACAAAACTATCATTGGGATTAATCATCCTGGATTGGGATCTTCCATTTCAGTATTAAGTCAAAAATTACTTTTTCTACTGAGGCACTGGAAGGGGATCAATCACATTATTTCCAAAAGAGCTCTTACTGTGGCAGCATATTCCAACAGCTTTTATGGCTGGTGCTTGATTTTATTGCTCAGTGCAAAATTCCCTGCAATTGCTGATGTATTCTTTGAAGGATATGAAACAATATATTTAAACGAATCTTTTATTTAAATAAGAACGCTAGAGTAGAATGGTGATTTTGGAATCTTGATGCTATGACAGAGTAGAAAACACTGTCCATTCTCAGTGGAGATCCAGTTCCCAATCCAATACAGATAGGGGAGGTGAAGTTATACCCTTCTCCAGCAAGTTCCCACATTTTGTCATAACCACAGGGACAGACACAGAGTATGGTCAAGTTTGACGAAAACAAAATAACCAAAGAACTGCGGACGCTGGAAATCAGAAACAAAAACAGAAATTGCTGGAAAAGACACAGCAGGTCCGGCAGCATCTGAGGAGAAAAAGTGAAGTTAACGTTCTGGATCCAGCGACCCTTCTTCTTACAATTTGACAAAGTGTCAGACACTTTCACCTGAGCTGTTGCATGTGAAAAAGAAAATTTGCATCATTACAGCTGGAAATTGATCCAGTCACTATACTCAAGTCAAAAAATACAATTAAATTACAAAGCTTATTTTGACAAAATGCTGGAGCTTTCAGTTATAGGTTTCACCTAAATTTGAAAGATCATCCTGTAAGTGCTGTGAATTACTTTAATTTGTATTGCTTCAATTTTATTTAACTGACAATTCTTTTTAAACTAGGAGGTCAAAATAATTTCACTTAGGTAATTGTTGACTGCCTATATATAAGCTGTTTTGCTTAGAACAAAGGATGACTGAAAATTACATAAGCAATAATCTGAATTTTCACAAAGAAAGTTAGCAAAGCAACTGAATACAACATTCCCAAAAGAAAAAAAAAATTGAACAGTCATTGTTTAAAGGTTTACTTTTGTTCTCAGAGCTGTGGTTTTTTTAAAAACATTTCATCTATTTGACAAGTTAGGTGGAAGATTGCTTCTTGCAACTATCAAAGTACTAATCAACCTTGGAAAGCACTACACACAAGATAACAAAGCTAAATGGGACCTTTGGATGAAGTAGCATTAGCCAGCTGGAACTAATGGGAGCAAGATGTGTTGAAATTATGACTGGAACACCAAGTTACACAGTTTAACAAAGTCATTTTTATACATTTACAGGTCAATAAAGGAACTGAAATAAGAAGAGAGATTGGCTGGAACATAGGAGTTATTTTACAGTACAGGTTGAGGAGCTGTGTAATACAAAGCAGACTAAAGTGCAACCTCCCACTAGCGCTGTCAATTATACTTCAACACATTTACTGATTCCATTTTTAATACATACATGGAAACTTTTAATAGAAAATCAACAGCTTTCGGTTATACATGCTTGTTGACCTTTTGTGAAGATAACTGGTATTTCAAACTTAAGACAATGACGATTACAAAGGAAGAAGCTCATTAGAATATTAGATAAGCCCAGTGCCTAAAGGTACCTAATGGTTAGACAGGATTTGCTGCTGTTTAGATCACCTGGGTGCATTCCTTAAGGTTTATCTAGATCTTTCAGTAAGGACAGACATTAACTAAGAAGAGCTGTGACTCACCCATTAGACTGGTGACACAAGTGCCAGAATAATCTTGGCAAGAGCTTAAAAGGTTGCAGAACTTCAGCATGTATATCTAGGCTGATACTTCAACGTGGTGCTGCAGAAAATGTCTGTCATGTTTTAACGAGACCATACCACCCACCCAATGACCTGGGAAGTTTTTTTTTGTATCAGAGACCAGTAGTGAGCTGAACAGGGTCAAGTTCAAGACTGTAACGAATTCCCAAAGGTTCAGCAAGCCTTCTGATCTGAAAGCAATAAAAAAAAACCTTGGAACGGCTGAAGCAACGACTGGCCATGAATTCAGATGAATTTGCCCAAAGGGTTAGGCTTTAAAAGCTGTTGAGCACATCAATTTGAGCACATAAGCTGAGCAACAGATCCCAGAGAGAATTGGATACAATGCTTGAATGTCTATTTATTGAGCACAGAAGAAGTCCTAGCTGACAAATCGGTTACTGTGGGTCCTGTGCCAAAGGGAGGTATGGGGGTCGGAGGCTGCTTCTCTTTTTTTAAAAAAGATGGCAATAGGACTTTACACCTGGGTGAGGGCTTCAGAGATCATGTTTTTGTGCTACACTCTGAAGTTGCATGAGTAACTTCAGCGAATGATAACGTGTGAAATAAAGTGAAGCCTTTTCCATGTGCTAGGTTTACACAATTATATTTGGGGTTTTTGGAAATGATAGGAAGTAGACAACATTTCAAAGAAAAATGCACTCTGCCCTGTGATGGTGCTGTTTAAAATAAGCCGTTATCTCAGTGAACAACTGGCATCAACTCAGTGCAGTGCTCATCTGTCTGCCTTCTGGAACATACAGATAGGACACATGAAACATCATAGTTAACGTGGAAGACATCTTTTTGTTAGGACACAGATCTTGCTACTGTATAACAATACATTGGAAGGTAAAGGTATGCTCCAGAGTATCATGAGCTTGGAGTTTGTTATGGGAGAGATCACTGACACTGAGGAATATCTGGTGGAGGCACAGAATTTGTAACAGATAAGGCATTAAAATGAGCATCTGTATGCCTGTGGCCTGCATATCTCACTGCACAATACAAAGAACGGAGTTCTGCCAGCACCTTGGACAAAAACAACAAGCTCTTCAATTGTCATCACCAAAATTAGATTAACTGATCATTTAGCTCGCTGTTTGAGATTTGGTGTGTAGCACCTGAATTCACCTATTTACCTAATGATTCATTTCACATGAGATTGTGGAGTACTTCAGAGGTATGGTTTCTCTAGGAAAGTATGTTCCTATATAGCTTGAAGGATGGGAAAAGACTCGTGGGGAAAAGGACTGCGCAGTTCATCGGCTGCATGGTCATGTGGTGGAGAAAGTGGGTTAGGTTACAAACTTTTGTGTACGCATTGTCTATCATCCAACATCCGTGTGTACCAACTGGCTATCAATGGCTCAGAAGGGGGCCATAGAAACTGGAATCCCTCAACAGCACCTTACAAATACTCTACCCACCAGCTAGAAGAACAAGGGCAGCAGGTGCATGGGACATCATCACTACCATGTTTCTTTTCAAGTTGTAAACTATCCTGTTTTGGAACGGTGTCGCTGCTGCTTCACTATGACTGTCAGAATCCTAGATTTCTGACCGTAACGGCACTTTTACAGACTTGGGGAAAATATCATCATTCCTTCAGTGCCCTCTGTTTAAAATCTTGGAATTCCCTCCCTAAGGACATTATGGGTTTACCTAAATCTCGTGGACTGCGGCAGTTCATCACTACATCTCAGGGGCAACTAGGGATGGGCAATAAATGCTGATCAGCCAGCAACACCTACTGTGACTGAATGAATAAAACTATATTAACACTGTAGATGTGCCTAAACCAGATGGACTTCAAAATTTTAAAAGAGAGATTACCACAATTTTATAAGAGAATTTGGTAATGGGCAATAAATGATAATCCTGTCAACAATTACATCTCATGAACAAATTTTAAACAAGTCATCCTGCTTCATGGCCATCAAAAGCTCAGTGACTCTGGGTAACAAAATATGCTAAATTTCTGAGTCAATGTTAACTTTAAGTGCCAGCAAAGGAAGAATCAATTTTAACAGACTCCAAAATTATGAGAAAAGTTGAGACAGTGTGCTCAATAGAGACCTTTTATCTAGATTCAAATGTTCCACCATCGCTGTAATGTGCCTATTAAATATTAGATGGTCTCAATTCTGCTTTACAGTGCAAAACTGCCAAGTTTGGGAACAAATTATGCAAATATGTTGCACAGGACGTCATTCAGTCCACCGAGACTTTCAGGCAGCGCATTCCATCTTGTAACTTAGTGAACAGAAAATACTTTCATTGTCCCTGTTCTACCCGTGATCTTTAGTCTGATTTTTCCTGCCGACGGAAATAATTCTCCCTATTTACTCATAATACAGCTCTTCCAACACTCCAAAGCCTGTCCACCATCGCAAGCCATGAGCAGGATGGAAAACTCTCCACTTTCCTGGATGTGGAAACCTTCAAGAACACTCAAAAAGACCTGGCATAAACCTGTCCAATTAATCAGTGCCTCATTCACTCTCTTAAGCATTCACTTTCTCCACCACCTGCATGACATGGAGTAGCTCAAGTTGCTGGCTCACCACCACATTCCCAGGGACAATTAAAGATGAGCAGTAAGTGGTAGCCCTACCTGCAGTGTCCACATTCCATAAATGAATTTATATACATTTAAAAATTCACTGGGTTTATTTCGAGGAGCATACTGTTTAATAGCAAAGTTAGTTTTAACTTGTACAGGGGCTCTGGTCTGCTCTTTAGACGATTGCACAGTTCTGATCTCCAGGCTATCAAAAGGATACTGAAGCAG